TTCTTTTAGGAGTCATCCACGAATTGATCTGGGATTTATAGACCTCAGAAATTATTTAAAATGATTTATGGGCTTGTTTTATTGTAACAATGATGATAAATCAAAGAAATGAAAACAACTCTTGGGATTTTTCATATCCTCTGATTATTTTACTGGGATTCTAAGAAAATTTTGTTTTGTATAGAAAATGATATTATATTTTTTATGAATAAAATCCTTTACATGCACTATTAACAATGTACTTTGATCATCTAGCTCTTTAACTTGATGTTCATCACATTCATCACGGTTTGAAGACCATGCATTGACATATTTTGTTCATAGTGATGTTTTCAAAGGAAGAGCTTGGATGCATAAGGTGGATGAACCTTTAAAACTTGTAAAAATCCGTATTTTAGGGTTTGACATAGGTTTTAGTCCTTGGATTTCACCATTAAACAACATGCATGTTGTTCTTATGTGAAATCCTACCACCATCATCATCAAACTCGACATTCATGGCTATGCTCATGAATGTTCATAAAGAATGGTGTAGAAGAAGAAGAAAGTGTAAAAAACTTGTAAAACTTTAAAGAAAAGTGAAGGAGAATGACGGAGAGATTGAGGTATTTACCTAGACTCTGATTTTGAGCTTCAAGAACACCTATGGATCTTCAAAATTTCGAGATTAAAGGCTGTTAATAACTAATTTTAGAGAGAGAGAGAGAGAGAGAGGGAGAGAGAAAGAGAGTCTTCTTGGAAGGTGAATAGTGGTGGAGTGAAGTGTAAAAGAAAATGTGTGAATATGTGGGTGTCCAAGTAAGAGAGAGAGAGAGAGAGAGAGAGAGAGAGAGAGAGAGAGAAAGGGAAAGAGATGGACGGATTTCTTGGAGGGAGAGAGGGTTTTAATAGGCTTTGAAAGCTTTAATTTGAATAAATGTAGCCTCTTAATCATTTTTATAAAATCATCTTTAGTTTTTATAAAAATTCTTAGTGCATTTACAAGGTTTAATTGTATTTTTGTCTTAAAATTGGTAATGACCTAAAATTTTATTTTCTTTGATTATATTTCTCTGAATTTAATTATTTAAAATTGTATTGTAAGGTTCATAATTATTTTCATAAAATTTTTGAGGTTAAGGTTTATAAAATTAGGTATTTAGGGTTTTTCGGATTTTGCTAAACTTTGAATATCGAAATAAATTGAACCTTTGAGACTTCAAACTATTTTTATGTTTCCTAACTCTTATTCAAGTTAAAAATAATGTTTGTAATTTATTTTTATTGTTCTATTGTAGGGATGAGATTTAGAACCGGAAAACCGAACTTCAACCGGAATTGGACCGGAACCGGAATATGTAGAACCAGGTCCGTTTTCGGGTTTAAGAATTGGCTTTATCCGGGTTCCGGGTAATCTAGGTTTGGGTCCGGGTAAACCGGGTCTAAAAACCGGAACCGATTTTTGGAACCGGAAGCACTTTTAGGGTCGGAACCGGTTTTTGTGAAACGTTTAAAAGATGCATATCTTATTCGTTTCAACTCCAATTGACATACAATTTTTTTCAACATGTTGTTTAGAGTTTGTACACGACTTTAGACTATAAATTTGTCATTTTTAGTTTTATATTCATTGAGTTACAGTCCTCCAAAGTCGAGATATGAAAGCTGGAAATTTTTAGTTTTTCAGTTTTTTTGTATTCGATGAAAGTTTTAAAATATGCATATCTAATTCGTTAGAAGTCGGATTGACATGTGGTTTTTTCCAACTTCTAGTTTACAGTTTTTACATGAGTTTAGACTATAATTTTGTCATTTTTTGTTTAACATTCATTAATTTACAGTCCTCCGAAGTCGGGATATCAAAACTGAAAATTTTCAACTTTTCTGGTATTTGTTTTTGTACTTTGTATTATGTGAAAATATTAACACAAGCATATCTCATTCGTTTAAAGTTGGATTGACTTGCGAGTTTTTCCAAAGTGTATTTTAGAGTCTGTACATGATTTTAGACTATAATTTTGCTAATTTTCGTTTAGTTGTCAATGAGTTATAGTTTCCCAAAGTCGGGATATCAATATGAAAATTTTGAAAGTTCAACCCACTAAGTAGTAAGTAATTACCAAAAAATTCTGGTTTTTTCGGGTTTTCCGGTTCTAAAACCACTTTATCCGGTTCCAACCTACCCACTTTGATGTTTCTGGGTTTTCCGGTTCTAGACCTACTTTACCCGGAATCGAACCTGAATCGGTTCCTATATACCGGTCCGGTTTCTGATTCTATAAAATCCCGTTAACCGGTTCCGGGTTTTCCGGGTCCGGGTCCATCCGGTACGGGTTTGGACCCACTTTCATCCTTAGTCTATTAGCATTTTATGTAGTGTTTTCGAGATTCAAGTGAAATTGAGGAACCAAGTATACTAGTCATAGTTTTCAGCTTAGACTTAAGTTCCTACGAGCTTCTGACCTAATTTCTACTACTAGGTCAAGTGAATGATGTGTGTATATAATTCATGAAAAAGTGTTCGGGTGAAAGAGTGACTCGAATATATATAGTCACTACAATTAAAGTAATTGTAGAATTCACATATCAATGTAAGATTAATTACACTATCCTTTGATTCTACTTGTTTCCAAATTTCAAGTAGGTTATAACTTAGCTTCTAGTTACAAAGTCTAGAATATGCCGTGCCTATACATGCAACTAAGTTTATCAAATCTGGAACTGTCTCAAATTTTGACGATTGTCACAGAGGCGGTACGTTAAATTCTCAAAGTATGATTTTTTTGATTACGGGAGGTGCAGTTTTTGGGGCACATCATTAATAAGGAGGGATTATAAGGACTTTGGAAACATTTCCTGTGGATGAGAGAATCAATGGTTAACGATGGAGACGAAGGATAGAAAGTTCATATGAAAGCGACATGAATAAAGGACACAAAGTTACAGTGGTGATTGTGGTGATTTTGAAGTCGTGTATGTGTAGTGTTTGTGTGTGTTTATTTTTATACGTATAAGTGATGTCTTATTCAGAGGCGAAGCTATGCTATTGCAAAGGGTGTCCATGGACACCCCTAATTTTAAATTGTATTGTATAGGTTATATATTAGATTTGAGAGGGACACCTATCGGAATAAAAAAAGGACACCCATGGCCACAGAAAATAAACAAAAAAACCAAACCAAAAAATTATAATAGTATACCACTTTGCTAGGAGGCAGTTAACAAAAATAAAACCCATTTATAGAAATTATAATCAATATTAATCGTTCAATCTTACAATATATATATAAAAAAAAGAAGATAGGATATCACACGATAAACAAAACGAAACAAATTATCGAAAACACAGAAGTCCTAAAAAACAAAGTTTATATAATTTTTTTCACCAGTGTCGCCGTCGTGTTCCACCACTCTCTGCCGGTCCATCCCTATTCTTTTGTTGTTGTCGTCGTGCTCATCATTTCTTCTCTGCCTCCGTGCTCAACATCATCTACCACTCTGCGCCCATCTCCACCACTTTCTGTCAATTTCCGATTTCTGGCAACCTATAGGAGATGCTCGAGTCTCCACTACCTCCCATCTCTTTTCTTTTAAAGGTTTTACCCTTTTCTCTTTCTACATGTCTGTTATTCGTATAATGTTTTTGTGTGTGTATGGTAAGAGTATAAACCAATTCCTAATAACCTATCAAGTTACTCTAGCTTACAAGTCAAATCCTATAAACTAGAAAGTTGTGGAGCATACCGGAGCTTTTTGTGGTGTAGTACACTCTAGTTTTTTTAGTTTACCTATAATGCTATCAACTATAGAGCTTGTTATTATATTTTCTATTTTTCAATTTTTTTCAATTATAAAATATTATATAATTAGGATGTTATAATTTACTTATAACATGTCAATGACATTCGAACAATATCACAATAAATTGGCAACTATTTTTTTACAGACTATTTTCATATCCATATAAATTTTTCATGAACAATTGTAACAAACTTATTAGAATTAAATTCAATATTATACATACACTAGGTGTGAAACCCGTGTTTTACACGATTTTATTAAAATAAGTTTTTGGTAACCATAAAGATCATGTTCATAAAAAAAATAAGTAATAATTGAGTTTGTGATATTTTGGTAAACCGCATGGACTATTTATGTAATTTGATCCTAATTAATCTAAACTAATAAAATTAATTAATATGAATTCACAAATGGAATGTATTATCTATATTAATATACGTACATATACATTAATTAATATATTAATAGAAATAGGAATTCAAAAATAGAAAGTTATTATGTATATTAGTTAATATATTTATAAAATTAATTAATATGAGGTGACATTTAATAGGTGAGATTTGGATAAAAAAAGAAAAAAACTATAAAAATGACAAATGGATATTAAATAATTCAAAAAAATCTAGAAAATAACAAGTGTCAAAATGAAGAAGAAGATGACATATGAAAAAATCATTCTTATTTACTAGGGTAGATAAAAATTTAATGCGAATATATAAACATTAAATATTTTATAAAATAATGTATTTCAATAACCAAAATGTAATCTTTTGAAGTATTTATGATAGAAATCAAATCATTTGGAATACTTATGAGAATTTATTATCAAATTAATAGAATTATAACCTTACATATATATATCCATTAGAATTTTTTGGAAATTTATTTTAAGAAAATTGAAATCCTCAAAAAATGACAAATGAAAATAACAATTTTAAAAATCATAAAAAATAACATTTGTTAAAATGAAGGAGAAGATGATAAGTGTCAAAAGTATTTTTATTTATTAGGTAGGATTAGATGATAATATTATTCACAACCCAACCCAATAATCATAAAATATTAACATGTTTAACTTTTTAAATAATTTAAATTGGACATAATCCTAATTCGCCACTGGTCTTATTTATTATTAGTTTATGATTTTATGATTAAACGTTATACACATTCTATATAATATATCTAATTATCAAGGACAACATGCTAATTTTAATATATTGGTCCATTGTGTGCAAGGCCTACATAATAAATCAATTCACGTTCTATCTGGTCCTGATCCAGTTCTGTTCCAAACATATACCAAACATGTACAAAACACACTACTATTGAAAAATTGAAATTGCGTACATAGTGTAAAAAGACCTCGAATGCATCATTTATGAACTCCTCTTTATATATACTGCTTCAGCTCACCTTCGTAAAAAACCCAACTAAAAGAGAAATCAACAAGTTCAATAATGGATATCTTCTATGCTTCTCTCCTTTCTCTATTTGTGGTCGTCTTCTCATGCTCACGTTGCTTTGGTTTCTTTAAATCTAAGTTGGATGTAGATGTAAAACCCCCACCTGGCGGAAGAGGGTGGCCTGTGATTGGTGAAACTATAGAGTTTGTCACCTGCGGTAGGAAGGGCCACCCTGAAAAGTTCATCGTCGATCGCATGACTAAATTCTCGCGTCATGTCTTCAGGACCTCTCTGATGCTAGAGGATGCTGCAGTGTTCTGTGGGCCCGAAGGTAACAAGTTCTTGTTCTCAAATGATAACAAACTTGTTCAGGTTTGGGTGCCTGCCTCGGCAAAGAAGATTATCCCTTCTCTGGAAGGAGTCAACCAGACAGTACTGAAGACAGTTCGCAACATTTTGAAGCCTGAAACTCTACGGGAATATGTTCCAATTATGGACATGGTGGCACAGAAACACTTTGAAACAGGATGGGAAGGTAACAACCAGATTTTGACTCATAAACTCACCAAAAACTTCACTTTTCTTGTTGCATGCAAAATCTTCTTCAGTGTGGATGAACCCGAATGGGTCAACAAACTATCAGTCCCGTTCGAAAGACTTGCTCCAGGGCTTTTCTCCATCCACTTAAATCTCCCGGGAACACTGTTCCGGAGAGCATTAAAAGCAGGCGCCTTTATCAATAAAGAACTCACTGCAATTGTAAAGAAAAGGAAGAGTGATTTGGCCAATGGGAAAGCTTCACCTACACAAGATATTTTGTCGTTAATGCTTTGTGATGACTATGGAAGATTAATGGCGGAGACTGTAGTTGCTGACGCTATCATGGGGTTGATGATCGGTGGCTATGACAGTACAAGCTCAACGTGTACTTTCATTGTTAAGTATCTCGCTGAATTGCCTGAGATTTACGAGGGAGTCTACAAAGGTATTGAAATTGATAAAGGAAAAGAATCAGTTTATTTTTCATCAAGACATGAAGCATATGATGCATACTTCATTTATGTTCATTATTCAATATTGTTTTTCCTAAATGCTTTTTCAAATTCAAATGAGCTACCAGATGATATAAAAGGTTAACGTTATTTTATGAAGCGTTTTTTATACGTACATTGATTTTTTTTTTGGTATAGATATTGAGTTTTGAACCTATAAACACAAAGGTTGCATGTGACGTAAAAACTATTAAGATGAGGAAATCGTTAGTGAGAGTAACTAGCTTTAGAAACTATTGAATTTGTTTAATGACACGCAAATTTAAAAAAGTTTTTATGAAGTTGTTTTTGATAGTTTACAACTAGATAAAAGGATTTTGACCACTAAAATAATCGAAATAAGAATTTTTAATTGTTTGTATATTATTTTTTGGTACATGCAGAACAAATAGAAATTGCAAAATATAAAAAACCAACAGAATTGTTAACTATGGAGGATTTGTCAAAGATGAAATACTCTTGGAATGTGGCATGTGAAGTTCTTAGATTAGTTCCACCAACCCAAGGTACATTTAGAGAAGCGATTTCTGATTTCACATACAAGGGCTATTCAATTCCAAAGGGTTGGAAGGTAAGTTACAAAGATTAATTACTTAACACGAGCTCCTTGGTGAATAGGTTTTAACTCTATAATAAATGGTCCTTTATAATTGCAGTTGTATTGGAGTACAAACTCGACTCATAAAAACCCTGATTTCTTTCATGAACCTAAAAAGTTTGATCCATCAAGATTCGATAGTAAAGTGCCAATTACACCATATACATACGTACCATTTGGAGGAGGGGCTCATTTGTGTCCTGGAAAAGAGTTTGCCCGCCTAGAAATACTTGTGTTTATACATCATCTTGTGAGGAGATTCAAGTGGAAGAAAGTAATTCCGAACGAGGAAGTTATTTTCAATCTAGTTCAACCTAAGGTTGCCAAAGGACTTCCGATTCACCTGCATCCTCATAAACCTTAAAATTAAAATTCTTCATTATAGAAAAATGGAGATAGTGCAAGTATACCTTAAATAAAATTAATAACACAAGAGATATCATTAATAATTCAAAAGTAAGTTCTCATGAATCTATAGTGTGTAATGTTTAATTTTTATTTTCTTCATGTAATTCTTCTGGGGTTGAGTATATTAACGAATTCATGTCCAAACCTCCCAATTATGTAGCATACTAGCATTTTCCCATCAAACTAACATATGGCTGTTGTAATTTAGGCTGGCTGATATAGTAGGTCTTTCATTTTTTTGCCACCCCACATCACATATGTCATCCTTACACCACACAATTTTTTCTAGAAAATGGTCACCATATCACACACCAAAATAATTTTTAAGTCATTTTTTCTTTTGTTTTGAGTTTTAATAATTTTATTTTATTTTTCATTTTTCCATAATTTTAAAAATAAATTACATAATTTTATAAGAAAGAATTCTAAAACCTTTATAACAAAAATTAATTTATTGTAAACTCATTATTTTTGGAAAGAATTTATTTATTTATTTTGCGCACCAAAGAACATGTAAGAAAATACACTTTCTCATTTATTAAAATACGGGAGAGGACTAGTTGACAAGCAACTTTGAGAGATTGCGGCATTATTTATTATTTTCTTGATCCCAAAATTATAGTTTATCTTTCCGTTTTGATTTGTCCCAAAATAATAGTTCATTTCTAAAAATAAATAACATTTTTACAAAAATATACCTTTATTATTACTTAACCAACTAAGTATTAAATGCAAAGTAAGGATAAAACTGTCATTTTATCGTATAAAGTTAATGATAATTAATGTTTTCTTAATTTGTGTGTTTTTTGTCGGTAGACAATATTATATATAACTACTCTAATTGTTTTGACAAAAACATATATATGGAAAAAGGAAAAAAAGGAAAAAAAAAATGAGGGTTTAACCGCTTAAGTTGATTAAGATTAAGAAGGGAAAAAAAAGAAGGGGGGGGGGGGGGGGGGGGGGGGGTTCTAACTCGGTGTGTGGTATTCAACTTCACTATCTCAATGAAGATCCACATAACGAGAGAAAAGAAGAGAAAGGAAAGAAAAACAAAATTCTCTTTTGTATTCTCGAATTGAAGAGATGTGGAAGGAAAATGAATCATTTTATTTTTTCTTTCCAAATCCTCCCAAATTGGAAGGAAAGTTAGGAGAAAAAGTGATCATTCCACTTCTTTCCACTTCCATCCTTTAATGAAACTCGGAAACACCAATTTCTTTTAATTTCTTCTCATTTCCACACATTTCCTTTCCCTTCTCTCGTTAAGTTTAACTCGGAAACGGGGTGGAAGGTGGGATGGTTTTCCCCATCTCCTCAACATGGTTGAGACAGGTCACATCAGTGGACGACCCATACTAACTAAACTTATACGATTCTAATGTATATATTATTCAATATTTTGTCTAACCTCTCATTAACTGACATAAAACTTTCAAAATCATATAGTTTACTATTTATGTTTTTGAATATTGATATAATTATGCTTTTAATATATATATATATATATATATATATATATATATATATATATATATATATAAGAATTAAAATGTACAAAGCTTATCTTAAAATGAAGATGTTTGTCTCAAACTAAGAGGTTGTTTGTTTGGCCTCTTAATGATCCCAATAAGAGGCTGGCTTTGAATCGTTCAAATTCAGAGTGTTTGGTTGACACATTTTTACCCTCTTAACCGGTCAGATGTAACAAAAAATAGTCTCACTCAGTAAGAGATGGTTAGGAGTTTGGATGAAAAAAAGACTGCAGATACCCTTGCCCTAAAAAAACGTTTGACGTCCTTTTCTTTCTCCCTCTTGATACGTCTTCAAAAACTCCTCCCTCATTCTCCCTCTCCTCCGTCCCCGACCCCTTCCCCTGCCAGCTTCCGACATCGTCAATGCTCCTCCACCTTCGTCACCACCCATTCTCGCCGCTTCTCCTTTCACCGATAAGTTTTCTGCCTTTTTCTTCTTGGTCGATTTTCTTCAGCCTAATCTTTTTGGTCGTTTTTCAAGCCCTAGAGAACTTTTTGCTTGGTTTGTATATGGAATCGGTGTTTGGTCTGAGTTCTTGCTGTGTTTTTTGACATTTTATGAAATCGATTTTTCTACTATATTTTCTTGCTGCCCTATTTGAGTTTGTATGAAATCAATTTCTTTATCGTTCTTGATGCTCTATATTTGAAAATCTGAAAATAACAATGTGCTTGTGTTTGTGTTTGCTTGAAAATCTGGAAACATGTGTTTGTGTTTGGTTGCAAATATAAAAATGGTGTTGATGTTCTGCGTGGTAATTTTGTTGCTGGTTTTTGATGGTTCATAGGGTTAAAATTGACATTTTCATCATTAAGAGGAAGGCATTCATATGCCTAACCAAACATCAATTTATCATTCAGATATAGATTCGTATAGAGCTTCTACATCATTCATACATCTGCATCATTCAAATATGATGTGACAACCCGAAGTTTACTCCAACGCCGTAACCCGTTTCAGTCCATAAAATTCGTCTTTTTCGAATTGTTTTCGTTTATGTTTTAAATTAAGTCATTATTTTTTAGACTTCTATTATGACTTAATGAGTGTCTAAACATGTTTAGAACTCATATTAACACTCCATCTTAGTAATCGGGAACATTTTTAGTTTCGACCATATCGGGTTACGACAACTTAATCGGGTGCGACCAAAAGCCACGTTTAACGTCAGTATCGGGTAGAATTCCACCGTGTCCCGAACTTAGGACCTATTTAAGCTCAAAAGACTTCATTTGAAGCCTTTCCTCTCTCTCACTACTCTCTCTCTAACCTCTCTCCTCAAACTCAAGATTTAGGTCCAAAATCATCAAATTTAAGCTCCAAATCACCAAGGTAACTACCCTAACTCCTAGTATAGCATCTTAGACCTTCAAATTCGAGTTCAAATCATGGAATAGGACCATATTCATGTGTTTACGGCCCTGGAACACCCTTGGTCCGTGAACACATATAAAATGGGTTTTGGAGCTTAGATATGACTTAGGGGCTTACCAAACGGAACTTAGAACACCATGAACTTGAATTTTGGAGAGTAAACATGAGTTTACTTCCCAAGAAAATGCTTCGGCTGTAAACTCCATATCATGGGGAGTAAACTCATTTTGAAGTGTTAAAATGCCATTTAAACACACCAATAGCCTTGGAATAAATTCTAGAATCAACCACAATCGATTTGGCCTTAAACTCAATGAAAATCCCACCCTTAGGAGTTCACGGCCGTAAACGCCCCAAGGATGGGTTCCTGGGCCGTAAACTCCTATAACATGATCAAATGATGCCCTAAATTCCATCCAAGGCTTGTAAAATGAGTTTAAATAACATATGATTGTCCTAGCACCACCAAAACACATAAGGAATGGGTATGGGGGAGTTTACGGCCATAAACTCGTATTTTACTGCCGTAAACTCCATTAAATGGTCAATATGTGGGTTAAATCCATTTATGTGGCTTAGATTTGATCCTAGCTAATTCCCCGAAGTGATGTTTGACCATTTAGCACCTCAAAACCCATCATCCATGAGTTCACGGCTGTGAACTCATATGGACATGGTCTTAGGGCCGTAAACTCCATAAGGAGTTTACTCTTGAAGAGTAAACACAATATCGAAGCCATATACGTCCTTAGATGTCACCCGGGTTGCTCTAAACGCTTGATTTGAGGTGTTTTCGCGTCCTAGAATAAATAATCATATCTAATTAATGAATTAAAGTCTAATTAGATACAAATGTGTATCATTTCACATTACATAGGAACCACGCACATTTTCAAGCCTTGAACTGACGTTTAGCATCCAAACCGACACATTACGCGATTAGTGAGTTCATACCCGTACCCTTTTTCCGTGTTTTTCAATGTTTTCAGGGGGGGGGGGGGAGTACAAGAAAAACTACAAATGTTTTCAAAAACCTAATACTGATGTGTTTCTATAAATATCTGGCTAACCTTTAAATATCTTTACCCCTTATGTACTAGGTTGAGCATAAGGGATGTTTTCTCGACTATATCTACGTGAATTTCAGTAAAGGAAACAATCAAACCGATTAAATTATTATGGGAATAATTTGGGATCTTTAGTTCTTGTTTTACGAATATAGACTTACATAAAGTTAATAGATAAACTATGTCTGATTCAGTTTATCTCTGTTTAATTAGATTATATTGCCAGATCATTTCATTGTATCAAACTATTTGTATTGTATTATGTTTCTAAACGATTAGTATATTTGATAACGTTCGAGAACACCGTGAATAATATATACTAGCTTGTGAGGTTCGTCATCATTATTAGTAAATCCTCCCCGGAAGTGTAACCAGAGTCTCCTGGAGGGAGAGCGTGGAATTTGTGGATAGATCTATTCGGGACTGACAATCCCACACCTTAACTACTAGCTACAGTTAGGCGGGCACGCCTGGGGTGACAAATTCTAGATATCGTTCGACGTATGACAAACGTCAAGGAGGTCTCATTGTTGTATCAACATGGTTACCCGACTCACAATACGTAATAATATAAGTTTATTCACGGAATTGAATTTCATATCTACTTTCTATCTATAGTTCTTATATCTAGTACGGGTTGGTAATCCCATGGTTTGTGTCTTATATATCTAGTGCGGGATGATAGTCCCATGGTTTTCAACTATATCTAGTATGGGATGGTAATCCCATGGTTTTGTGTCTTATATATCTAGTACGGGATGATAGTCCCATGGTTTTCAATCTATATCTAGTACGGGATGATAGTCCCATGGTTTTCAATCTATATCTAGTACGGGATGATAGTCCAATGGTTTTCAATATATATCTAGTACGGGATGATAATCCCATGGTTTTCCATTTATATCTATCTATAGTTTTGCATATAACAAATTATCTTATATCTAGTATGGGATGATATTTCCATGGCTTTCAATCTATATCTATCTTTAATTTTCATGTATTAAGGCTATCGTATATCTAGTGTGGGATAGTAATCCCATGATTTTCAGTAAATAACTCTATGTACAAAACTATACAATGTGATTCTTAACTAAAACTTTACTTTTAGGAAAATATAGATTTTCCTGGGATAACAAATATACATAACCAGAATCGTGTAATAAAACAGTTAATAAAACTTTACATATAAGAAAATATGGGATTTTCTTGGATTTGTGACTTTTTCAGAAAACTAAAGGAAACTTAAACTTTTTCAGAAAACAAACATCTTATGAACTCACCAGCTTTATGCTGATT